CTACGTCGAAACTAAGTCTAAGGTCAAAACTCTTGACCTTTAGAACCTTGTGGGACAGGAACTGTCATTTCATGTATTTGAATACATAAATACAGGTTCACCCATCCTGAGACTTTCTTTCTTGAAGATTCAAGTGAAAAGAACACTCTCTTTTTATTATCATTACTATCTTACAAATGTTGATAATCAAAGTGTCTTAGTTCAAACCATTTTAGATGTTGCAGTGAACTAATCAATTTTATTAACTGAGTAATGGTTTTTATTCTCATGTTAAAAGCTGTTGCAGAGTAATTATGCATTTTTCTGATTTCTGCTTTTGAATGAGCAAGTGTGTGCGTTTACAAGGTTACAGTCAAACGAAAAACAAGTTGTTATGTTAAAACTGTCATGTTTTAGAATCCTCTCAGACGTAAATAGAGATGTTTTGCACCTGTTTCTTAAACACGCCACAACAAAACCCTCTCGGTCTGTGAGAACATTTCTGAGCTGTCCCATAACAATTCTCGCTGTCTCTAACCTCTTACGTCACAAAAACACACCCCTTCTGGTCGTTTCTGACCAATGAAAAATCTCAAAAAGTGAACCGGGAAAGAGTCTTTAAAATGTCAGTACTTCCTGGACACACAGACTCACGGAGTTACAGACTCACAGAGTTGGAGAGTTGTCAGACTTCTAGAGTTCTGGAGTTCTGATGGAGTGCTGTTGGAGTTCCTGACATGACAACAAAGCTCTTCCGAGTTCCATGGGATTATAACATTTTCCACTGAGGTGAAGGTGTGTCGAACAGAGCCTCGCCACTACTTCTGACGAGCTACAGCCATTCTAAGGAGACGCTGGACCGGTAGCGTTAACGGAACACCATATCTGCTGATTATCATCAGAAAGGTAATGGGTCAAGTTTCCTACCAAGCGTACCGAGGCGAGCTGGGCTTCTGATGGAGAGTGTCGGTTCTGGTGAACATTCCTCCCCTCCCATTCAATCTTAACTCCCTCTAAACTTCTTTTCATCTTTAACTTTCTATCAAGTAGAAATTCTCCCAGATATTTAGAAATGTCTGTGTAAAGTGCTTACCCACATTCATGTGGGCAAAAGATCATAGTTGTACAGTTTTATAAATGTCTTTGATGCAGCAACGGAAAAATCATGGCCGTATGATTTTTCCTGGTTGATTGCTTTGTTGTTATTTTCATAATTTGCCAAATTAATGTACATGTTTGATGTTAAATTTGATTCTGTAAATAAATGACCGCATTCATTTTGATGGGTCAAATCTAAATGACGTCTCACGTTTGCATTTCCTTAAATTCAATGCACGTTTTATTCAGTCCAGAAAAATGAGGAACCCGCGTTAAATGATGAATATATCCAAGCATCTGTTCATCTACAACTGGTGGCCCGTCACGTGCTCATAAATGGACTGTAACTCGTGTGCTAATTGATTTTCATGTTGGCATGTGTTGTAAAATAACAGTTGAATCCGTGCGTCTTTACGCAGCGCAATTGGAGCTGCGCGCTTGTGTTACGCTGGCGATGTTTTAAGAGCTAGAATGTGTCATTGAGTCTTTATAAAGCTGAATTGTACGTCTGTATGTGTAACATAAGCTGGCTTTGAGCTGTGGAAACGCTTTATTCTGTTTAAACTGTGTTCCAGACGCTGTTCTGGTCCGGTTCGGTTCTGTGGTTCCGACTCGGTTCTGGAGCTTCGAACGAGTTGTTTTAAATAGCTAGAAAGACGTTTTGAGACCGGAGTAGCGGACTCCGGGCAGCTCAGGGGTTGGTTCGTTACATTTTTAGCAGAGAAAGTGCATTTTGATGGTTTAGAAGACGATAAGTGATAGAAAAGTTTCAGGCTACATTAACATGGCTGCTAACGCTTCGTGGTTGGTTGTTTGCTGCTTTGGAAAGCTCTGATTTGCTGAGAAAGGTTGACTGACGTCACCTCCCCTCACCCCTACGCTGCGTCATTGGTTGAGAAAGACCGTGTGTAACGTTCTGATTGGATGAGGGAAGTGTCAATCACGTCACCCGGAAATGAAGACTCGTTTTCATAGGGAATAAAATCTGCTTTTTAACGCTGGAAAGCGCATTAAAGCTGTGTTCTGAAACGCTGTTTACATTCTTCGAAGCATATTCGCTGAAAGTTCGCCACGTTTGAGTTTAAAGACCGTCATAAAATGATGCTTTTGAACTACGCTAGCGATGCTAAATTTTAAGCTAACGACCGGATGGATGACGTGTCACGTCACTTCCCCCAAGTCGGAAATGAGCTTTACCGTGCTTAAACTCACTAAATACGGCTGCAATTTTGTTCCACAAAACTCATGTTTCATGATATAAGGTCTGATTGAAAAAATTTTGCCACGTTTGTGTAAAAAATCCGTTCAGAAGTGTTGGTTTTCACCGAAGCAAGCCGATGCTAATTTTAGCTAACAAGCTAACGACCGGACGCCACAGGAAGTTATAGCACCCCTAGTGGACGACACAAACAGTGTCTGAGTTAAAATTGTTGAGGATCTGCTGACATCTTGTGGAGAAGACGTGGGATCACAGGTTTTCACTTCGTTTTTAGGTAAAGAGTGACATTAAACGTTTTATTTTTCTGAAAGGCATTTTTGAGTTAAAAAACTTCCTCAAAGCTGAATATACACTGTTATCTTGCGTTTTAAAAGTTATGAAGGTATTTATGCAAAGGGCTTTTACCAAACAAATTTTTATTCACTGATAAATCCTTGAGAAATAGGTACATAATAAAAATTTAGAAACTTTTAAATAAGATACAGTTACAAATATTCACAGAGTTGAATAGTTTACTCATTTTGCTAGAAAATAACGCACGTTTAATTGATAAATCACTAAATAAGAGTAAAGCTTATCAGGAAAAAGAGATTTTCTGATTTTCTGTTACCACCTAAACGTTACATCTACTATTTAATTTCTAAATAGCAGATAATGGCGGACGTAGAGGTAAACACTGACCCCTCACAATCCGAGGATGCGGTCCAGACAGCCTTACACATTTTAACAAATTCAATTATTGGCAAACAATTGGAGGAATTGCAAGACCTTGATGACGATCAAAGACATGAGGAGCTGCAGAGTTTATCAAAAGCAGCTACAGTGAAGGAAGACACAAAATCAAGCCGCATACGGTTAGCAAAAATCTCTTTGCTTCTGAAGGCGGAATTAGACCGTTTGGTGGTAGAAAAGGGCGTGCTATTCAACGGATATAAGTCTGAAAAAGAGAGGTGTGACGAATTGATGATTGAATCTGAGTCGCTGAAGCAACACCTTGAGGCTGCTGAAGACCTCTCAAAGAGAGAGCTGTCAGAACAGGCTCGATCATATGAGGAGAAGTTTGCGGATAAGGAACGAGCGTACCAAGACGCGTGTGCAGATAACGATAAGTTACATGCACAGTTGCAAACCGCTTTAAGGGAGCTGGACGATTGCAAGGCAGAAAAGGGGTTAATAACCCGGAGTTGGCTGACTTTACAACGTGAAAATCGGTCAACAAATGAGCGTCTGGCAGCTTGTGAGGAGAATTTAGCTACAGCTACAAACCTGATTTCTGACATGGAGCTAGCTGGCTCGAGACTCAGAGACGAGCAGGGTCAGCTACAACCACCCCAGACAGGTGCTGTTGCATCTCCTCCCCTTAGCCCCGTTTCAACACCCCCAACCCGGGGGATAAGGACGGGTCTGCACCCACTTGCACCTCTTCCTCCTGACGCCAGGCAGTCACCTCCACCCCCATCTCGGGCGGTGGGGTTCGACCTGCACCGGTATGCACCTCTTCCTCCTGACGCCAGGCAGTCAACTCCACCCCCATCTCGGAGGGTGGGGACAAACCTGCACCAATATGCACCTCCTCCTACCAACCCTTATCAGCCACCCCCACCCCCACCATGGGCAGTAGGGGCAGGCCTTGATCAGTCTGCACCACCAGTCACACAAGTTAGACCGGTGATACAGTCTCCTTCAATGGATGATTTGCAGAAAATCTCAAAGTATGTACAACGCTTTGTTCCCGGGCCTATGGGGTCAGCAGGAACGAAAGCGTATCTCAAAGATCTGGAGTTCAGATTGAGGTCTTATCCTAATGCTACGGTAGACGATAAGATAAGTCTGATACGGCTCACTTCAGACAGAGAGGTGTTCACCTTCATCGAGCGTCTACCTGATGCAACGAGGAGGGATTACAACCTTCTGTGTGAAGCTTTGATCAGAGAGTACGACCCCTGCACGGGGCCTGCTGGTTTTCCAGCTGCAGACAAGGTCATGCAGGGTAAAAATGAACATCCAAAAGTTTATTACAAAAGAATCTTCCAAGCTTATTTTGGTAACAGAAATGAGACCGGAATGGAAGAAGATGATGGTTTTAAGTTTGTTTTCAGCAAAAATCTCCACTCTGATTTTAAAAAATCAGTACAAATGATGGCAAATTTCAGAGAAAAATCCATCAGTGAGATTAAACAGTGTGCTGTGAATGTGTTTGAAGCATGTTCTCATGCTAAGACGCCCATAGAAGTGTTTCCTAGTGTAAAGGTTAAACCCCTCCCTCTTGAACTAGAAGGACGACGTGCTTCGCCGCCTCCTCCTAAGAAGAAAGAGAGAAAACAGTCTGTTCAAGCTAACAAACCGCGTCCTGACGGTGCACGCTGGGACAAAAAGGCTCCTCTTTCAGAGGAAGACAGTGATTATCGAAAAAGGGGTGGGCGCAGGACGCAACGATATGAGAAACCATATCAGCAGGAGCAGTACGTAAAGGAAACCCCGCAAGACGTACCTGACCGTCCCCCACCTCGGACGAAACGAACCGAGGCGAAAAAATCACAAAAGTTCCAGAAACAAGGCCCTACACCTCTGAGCTCGGAAGAGACAGAGAAACTACGCAGGTTGTTAGAAACTTTGAAACACACTGACACGGGAACCCAACCAGGAGCACTTTGCAGTAATGTAATTCCTATTACATCTGAGGGCGCGAATGACAACATAACAGATGTCGGTGGAACACGCCAAGACTTTGCTGTTGTTGCCTCAAACAACCCCTCATCGGAAGAAGGGGGGGTAAACACGCACACGAACGATGACGTGTCATCGCAGGCTGAACACTCAGAAACAGCTTCTGCTGTGCTGACGGTTCAGGCAAACCACAATTACACAGATAAGGCTGAACGCGTGAAGAAGCGTCAGAAAAAACCCAAGAGGTTTCTGTGTAACTTTATCAGAAAGGGGGTCGCCAAAAAGGCGTACCTGTCAGTAACACTCGAAGGTGTCCTCACACACGAAGCACTCTTGGACGGTGGGGCAGACATAACAAT